ATACTTAATTGAGCCTCACTATCCTCGTAAAAATCTCTCATGCTTTCAGTAACCTACCTCCACTACACATACACTTGCAACATCTGCCACATTGCCCCCCATCCACCCTGTCATACGCCTTTCCAAATCCATAAATGCCACAAAGACCTCTTAGCCTTATCTAAATACTGTTCACATTATATGTTTCACTGTAAACACTGGTCCACACACCCCCTACCTTTCCTTAAAGCCTCCTTGTTCATCTGCTATCCTATTCTCCGTCTTATTCTTAATTCTTTCAATTATAACTCTACCATACACTTTACCAGGTACACTCAACAGACTTATCCCCTATAATTTTTGCACTCTCTTTTATCCCCTTTGCCTTTATACAAAGGAACTATGCATGCTCTCTGCCAATCCCTAGGTACCTTACCTCTTCCATACATTTATTAAATAATTGCACCAACCACTCCAAAACTATATCCCCACTGCTTTTAACATTTCTATCTTTATCCCATCAATCCCGGCTGCCTTACCCCCTTTCATTTTACCTACTGCCTCACGAACTTCCCCCACACTCACAACTGGCTCTTCCTCACTCCCTACAAGATGTTATTCCTCCTTGCCCTATACACGAAATCACAGCTTCCCTATCTTCATCAACATTTAACAATTCCTCAAATATTCCCTCCATCTTCCCAATACCTCTAACTCTCCATTTAATAACTCTCCTCTCCTATTTTTAACTGACAAATCCATTTGTTCTCTAGGCTTTCTTACTTGTTAATCTCACTCCAAAACTTTTTCTTATTTTCAACAAAATTTGTTGATAACATCTCACCCACTCTCTCATTTGCTCTCTTTTTACATTGCTTCACCACTCTCTTAACCTCTCTCTTTTTCTCATATACTCCTCCCTCCTTGCATCACTTCTACTTTGTAAAAACTTCTCATATGCTAACTTTTTCTCCCTTAACTACTCTTTACATCATCATTCCACCAATCGCTCCTCTTCCCTCCTGCACCCACTTTCCTGTAACCACAAACTTCTGCTGAACACTCTAACACTACATTTTTAAACCTACCCCATACCTCTTCGACCCCATTGCCTATGCTCTCATTAGCCCATCTATCCCAATAGCTGTTTATATCTTACCCTAACTGCTCCTCTTTTAGTTTATAAACCTTCACCTCTCTCTTCCCTGTATGCTTCTATTCTCCTTGTATCCCATCTACCTTTTACTCTCAGTGTAGCTACAACTAGAAAGTGATCTGATATATCTGTGGCCCCTCTATAAACATGTACATCCTGAAGTCTACTCAACAGTCTTTTATCTACCAATACATAATCCAACAAACTACTGTCATTTCGCCCTACATCATATCGTGTATACTTATTTATCCTCTTTTCTTAAAATATGTATTACCTATAACTAAACCCCTTTCTATACAAAGTCAATCAAAGGGCTCCCATTATCATTTACACCTGGCACCCCAAACTTACCTACCACACCCTCTCTAAAAGTTTCTCCTACTTTAGCATTCAGGTCCCCTACCACAATTACTCTCTCACTTGGTTCAAAGGCTCCTATACATTCACTTAACATCTCCCAAAATCTCTCTCTCTCCTCTGCATTCCTCTCTTCTCCAGGTGCATACACGCTTATTATGACCCACTTCTCGCATCCAACCTTTACTTTAATCCACATAATTCTTGAATTTACACATTCATATTCTCTTTTCTCCTTCCATAACTGATCATTTAACATTACTGCTACCCTTCCTTTGCTCTAACTCTCTCAGATACTCCAGATTTAATCCCATTTATTTCCCCCCACTGAAACTCTCCTACCCCCTTCAGCTTTGTTTCGCTTAGGGCCAGGACATCCAACTTCTTTCATTCATAACATCAGCAATCATCTGTTTCTTGTCATCCGCACTACATCCACGCACATTTAAGCATCCCAGTTTTATAAAGTTTTTCTTCTTCTCTTTTTTAGTAAATGTATACAGGAGAAGGGGTTACTAGCCCATTGCTCCCGCATTTTAGTCGCCTCATACGACACGCATGGCTTACGGAGGAAAGATTCTTTTCCACTTCCCCATGGACAATAGAAGAAATAAAAAAGAACAAGAGCTATTTAGAAAAAGGAGAAAAACCTAGATGTATGTATATATATATATATATGCATGTGCGTGTCTGTGAAGTGTGACCAAAGTGTAAGTAGGAGTAGCAAGATATCCCTGTTATCTAGCGTGTTTATGAGACAGAAAAAGAAACCAGCAATCCTACCATCATGCAAAACAGTTACAGGTTTTTGTTTCACAGTCATCTGGCAGGACGGTAGTACTTCCCTGGGTGGTTGCTGTCTTCTTTTGCACACCCTTCCAAATTCATCCACCAATCTCTGCAACTTCTCTTCAGAATCTCCCAAGAGCACAGTGTCATCAGCAAAGAGCAGCTGTGACAACTCCCACTTTGTGTGTGATTATCTTTTAACTCCACGCCTCTTGCCAAGACCCTCGCATTTACTTCTCTTACAACCCCATCTATAAATATATTAAACAACCACGGTGACATCACACATCCTTGTCTAAGGCCTACTTTTACTGGGAAATAATTTCTCTCTTTCCTACATACTCTAACTTGAGCCTCACTATCCTCGTAAAAACTCTTCACTGCTTTCATAACCTACCTCCTACACCATACACTTGCAACATCTGCCACATTGCCCCCTATCCACCCTGTCATACGCCTTTTCCAAATCCATAAATGCCACAAAGACCTCTTTAGCCTTATCTAAATACTGTTCACTTATATGTTTCACTGTAAACACCTGGTCCACACACCCCCTACCTTCCTAAAGCCTCCTTGTTCATCTGCTATCCTATTCTCCGTCTTACTCTTAATTCTTTCAATAATAACTCTACCATACACTTTACCAGGTATACTCAGCAGACTTATCCCCCTATAATTTTTGCATCTCTTTTATCCCCTTTGCCTTTATACAAAGGAACTATGCATGCTCTCTGCCAATCCCTAGGTACCTTACCCTCTTCCATACATTTATTAAATAATTGCACCAACCACTCCAAAACTATATCCCCACCTGCTTTTAACATTTCTATCTTTATCCCATCAATCCCGGCTGCCTTACCCCCTTTCATTTTACCTACTGCCTCACGAATTCCCACATACAATGGCTCTTCCTCACCCCTACAAGATGTTTTTTTGTAATTTCTTCATTTATCAAATGAGCCCCCAAGAAAACCATAAATACAACTATAAAAAACATAAAAATATACGTGCTTTTAATCCAAAAAACCGGCTGTCTTGTTTTCTCTTTATGCACTGCATGCGCGGGATTTGTTTTATAGTCACACTTCCAAATGATGCTTCTCTAAATTGGGCCCCCAATTTTCCCGATCACAGTTATTGGTGGCTGACTCAGGGTGACTATGGTTGGACCCAGGTTCAAACCCAAGAATACAGGACAGCCCCTCAAATGGTTAAAAAAGAGGGTGATCATTCCGCCCCTAGATATCAACAAAGAAACAGGAAGTTGGGGAAAGATGATTTCCACTACAAATGAACGAGCATAGGCTAAAGTAAAAAAATCGTATCAAGTTTTTTGGTTACAAAAAAAAAAAAAAAAAAAAAATTCTGACCACTACCCCTGCAGTGTAAAAAAAGCCCAAGATGAATTTTTGCTTTCCCAATATTTTATTAGTAGAGCAGGGCTTCAGTACAGTCGCCAAGCTTCTTTCCAAGGTAAGAAATAGACTGAAAATTACTGTACACAGGGATCTAAATCTTCTTCTTAGTGTCTTCATGCCTGGTGTTATGAAGCTGATGTCCCTGCACCAAGCACATCCATCTCATTAAAATTGTGAAGACAATAATGTTACAGGTGAGATGAAAATTCACCCTTTCATATCATTAAATAAATGGGTTTACTATTTTTTTTTTTCAACAAGTCGGCCATCTCCCACCGAGGCAGGGTGACCCAAAAAAAAAGAAAGAAAATCCCCAAAAAGAAAATACTTTTAATTAATTATTATTTTAGTTAATTATTATTTGTGAAATAAATACGCTTATTTAGTGTTAGATTAGTTGTTGTTTTGAATTTGCAGTAAACCAAATACCAAGAAAGAGGTGTGTTCATATGTATGAGGCAGGGGCACTAGGAATGTGGCCTAGGAGCCAAGGAGGCAGCAGCCTTGTAAAGTCTGGGAACCACTGATACAGAATAATCTCCATGCATTTCAGCCACTTTCTAGTAATTGATTAATGTTTTCCTTCTTCTGTTCAAAAGCTGGTGTGTTCCACTTAAGCACCAACAAACAATAATGTATATGATTACCTCAGCAATCAGAGAAAAAAAAATACTAGAAATGTAAATTATTTATTAAATAGAAATTTAAATGTGGAGAAAAAATGGAGTAGAATGCCAATAGATTCAATAGTATGACTGCATTCAGGAAAATCAAGATAAAAAAAAAAGTGTTTTCTCTGCTCTCCTCCTTAGTATTGATTCAATGGATGACCAAGACCAACCAGTTTTATGAATTTCACAGAAGTGCCATATAACAGAAAAGTGCAAAAGAATTACCAAATACTGTACAGTAGATAGTAAACTGGCTAACATTTTCACCAAAGAATGACTGCTATGAGGGAATTGCAAAGAGGTGCCCTATCATCTTGTGCTGTCTGTATCCTTTAACTTTTCACAATGCAGCAATAATTGGGGGAGTCATCCACATCCCCACCTCAACATTACCTCCACAACAATCCTTATGGCCCTATTTCTGTCACTCTTGCTTCCACTGTGCCCTGTTGTCTTGACTTCTTACTTTCCACAAGGTCTTGTTTAACAGAACAGGAAACATTAACTGTTTGTTTAATTTGCATGACTGTGAAGTCAGCATGTGAACTTTTTGGTAATGAATGTATACTATATATACTGTACAGGCAGGTCATCAAAGAATTTCTCACAAAAAAACATTAAATACATTACCTGGCTCTACGAATTTCTTGCTGTTCCTCTTCCCACTTTGCATATTTAATCCAATTGGAAATATTTCCTCGATTTTTGCGGATGTTATCTTCAAAGGCACGTCTCTTCTTCAAGCGATATTCTTGAAGTTCTTCTGGATCAGATATTTTCTGACGTGGTGGTGGAGGCACAATTTCAAGCTCTCTTTCCTTGGCTTCTCTTAAGAGTTGTTCTGCTGTTATTTGAAGCTCAGCAGGAGACTTGTCCTTCACCTGTTGAGTACAATATGATGCAGCTTAATGAAAGCAAAAGGGTGACAAAATGCAAAATTAAAAATTTTACAAAGAGGGGGCCCTGCACAATCCAAGCCAGCATGGACTGAGAATGGAATGATCATGCTTCTCACAAGTAATAAACTACTATGATGGATACACAAATAACCCACACATAGGAGAGAGAGAGAGAAGTATTAGAAGAAAATCAAAATGTCAGATGTAGTATACAAGTATTTTGCAAAAGCACTAGACAAATGTGGTCATTAGGCAATTGCACACAAAATAATCGTGATTTGTATAATGGGGAAGTAGGCAAATGGACACTCAACTTTCTGACAGATAGAAAACAAAGTGGTAGTAAACGAAGTAAAATCCAGCATTAACAAAGTAAAACAACTCAGTACCCCAAGGCACAGTCCTGGTGCCTTTACTGTTTATCTTCAAAGCTGACACAGATAAAAACACTTGCCACAGTTTCATATGATCATTTGTAGGCAATATGAAAATAAGCATGAAAATCACCTCACTAGAAAACATGGGAAATTTCCGAAAGATATTAGCAAAGACTTTCAAAGAGCAGTGGACGTCAACATGATTTTCAACAGTACCAAGTTCCAACTGCTCAGATATGGAAAGAATGAACACCCCAAAAAGGACACTGTATACAAAACATAAAAAATATTACCAAACAGACCTGGGAATGAAAATGTCAGATGACCTTTTGTTCAATGAGCACAATAAGGCAAATTTCACAACAGCCAGGAAAATGACAGGGTGGGTAATGAGAGCTTTCAAATCAAGGGAAATAGTGCTGATGATGCCACTATTCAAATTACTTGGGCTCTCTTGTGCAAAGCATTGTTTGGTGTTCATTGCTCTCTTCAGAGCAGGAGAAATAGCAGAGCTAGAACATATTCAAATATAATTGACGGCCAGCATAGAGCACCCCCCCCCCCCAAAAAAAAAAAATTAAACTATTGGGAATGCCTTGGAGTTCTAGATACTGAAGGGCCTGTTCCCAAATATGCACACTGCCAAAACAATATACACAGTGGAACCCTGGTACTCGAACAGCTCCCTACTCGAACAATTCGGTATTTGAACGCTTTGTTCAATAAAAAAAGAATCGCTCGGTAGTTGACCAATTGCTTGGCACTCAACCAAACAAACACGACCTTCCAGAACTTCGCTGTAAACTATTTCATGTTTCTTTGCATTTTTTGTTGTTTTTTGTATGAATATGATCACCATGGAGCCTAAGAGGATTAGTGACAACAGCCAACCTATAAGAAAATTAGTTGGGAAAAATTTGTTTGGTACTCGAACAGACTGGCACTCGAACAGCCTTTTGGAACGAATTAAGTTTGAGTACCAAGGTTCCACTGTACTGGAGTGAGAGAAAAGGAAGAAAGTGTGCAATAAACCCAATGAAAGGCCATAGACACAATAAGAGAACATTGTGCGAATATCCATGGTACCAGAAACACTGCCATAACAAGTGTAGAAGTCTTCAAGAGGAAATGCAATGCTTTACTCTGCCAAGTACCAGATCAACCAAGCTGTAACAGATATGTGGGATTGCAGGTCACCAGAAACAACAATCTGGTTGACCAGGCAAGCACCAGACAAGCCTAGGCCAAGGCCAGGCATTTGGAGTAAGAAAACTCTTGAAACCTATCAGAGATACATATAGATACATGAAAATACTATAGTTTCCTGAACAGATTTTCACTGTTCACTAAAATTTCACCTATATTATCACATGTATGCCTAACCAATGGATAAACTAGAAATAAAGGAAGTAGGCTCAGTGGAAACGCTGGATGCAGCCTAGATATTGATTAGAGAAGCCTTGATAGCCACAAGCTTCCTAATTTCAAAACAAGTACATGATATAAGTGTAATCATTATTGTATCAAGTAACCTTGGTCATGAGCAAAATATTGAACGTCAAGAATTTTTTTAATCAGGCGGAAACACTAAAGCTGTTGGGGTTATATACCCGAATACAGGGTAAATACTGAGTTTAGTGTCCCGACTGAGTTTCACTATAATAATTACAACTGAAAATGACTAATACCAATTGGTTTCTGAAACAGAAAAATACAGTGGACCCACGCATAACGATCACCTCCGAATGCGACGAATTATGTAAGTGTATTTATGTAAGTGCGTTTGTACGTGTATGTTTGGGGGTCTGAAATGGACTAATCTACTTCACAATATTCCTTATGGGAACAAATTCGGTCACTACTGGCACCTGAACATACTTCTGGAGTGAAAAAATATCGTTAACCGAGGGTCCACTGTAGTTTTAATTTGTGCAAACTGATAAAAAGGGGTTCGTTGGTGTATTTTCATGAAAATAAACATATAAAAAAAGGCCTTTCTTAAACATTACAGCCAACCTAACCTACTGAAACTTGGCATTATTAAACCTAACTAAACATTAAAAAAATTAATAAATAATCAACACTGGTATTAATATTTACCAAATAGTTATAATGCTCATTCATCTTGTTCTAATAAATTGTGACTTACATTGTGCAAGGTAAATTTGCATGTTACTCTTAGGAAACATTGCTCTGGGGTTGATAATGGACGAGTGTACTTCTCTGACCCAGTGAGTCATGACTGAATATTATTATAATCATGGGGAAGTGCTAAACCCGTAGGATTATACAGCGCAAGTGGGGGGAAATGGAAGGTATTCAGGCTTAATTCAGGGAACTGGAGTACAGATCCAATTCCCTAAATCAAGAGCACCTCACCAGCATCATAGAACCTGCCTTGAGGGGCATGACTGAATACAGACAACTGACTCCCAAAAAATAATGCTGCTAATATCACCTTAAAAAAAATCTGTGCAAAGATTAATTATTTTTAGCGAGCCGCAGATGGACTGCCGACATTAAAGAAGTGGACATAATGTAAATTATTAGTTAGTTGTAACTGATAAACTCAATATTAGCTGAATAAATTAGTATTTTCAAAGTTGAAGACAAAATTATTAAAAATTTACATGTAATTACAAACCATATATTAAATACATGACAGTTACAATCAGTATTTTTATGATCATGAAAGAGACTTCAGATTTATTTTTGTAAATCAAGGTGAAGCGCTAAACCCGGTAATAAGAGGCATTTAAATTTGATCCAAGAGAAGAAAATGGCCTCAAGAAAAATATTTTTCTTGTTTGAAGTGTTGATTCATGTGAGAATATTTATTGGACGATCACATTTGTCTTGCAAAGATTCGTGAACATGTTGCAATAAACACATCATCAAGAGTTTGCAATGTTGCAGAAAAGATGAAATCCGAGCAATTACGTTCAGTGAGCGTTTTTGATAGCAAAAACACTCTGAACGTATTTGCTCGAATTTCATCCATTTTTCAGCAACACTGCAAGTTCCTGATGTTGACTGCAAGATGAAAAGCCCAGAGCTGGGTTTCACTCCCCCCTCCCCCCCGAGGACTGGCACAGTAACGTATAAAGTGCCAACCATAACCCCCAAAATAGCTAGAGTGGCCCCATAATCTGAAATTTTGCTAAATTATCAAAAATATGTGATGGCTCTTCATGTATGACAGACCTTGGCCACTTTGGGCATTTTCTGTGGCTTGCTTTCCATGTTTTCCTTTTATTTCTTTCCGAAACGTTGCAATTTGGCGGAGAAAACTCCCGTTTATGTTGTTGTTTTTGTTGGAGATAAAGATTGTTACAGGGAGAGGAGCTGTAAAAATATTACCGTAGCCTTGCCCAGCGAGGAGCCGTGTAAACATTACCGATCCAGGGAATGGAGATAACATTATTGAATAATAATAATAATAAAATAATAATAATAATCATAATAATAATAATAATAATAATAATAATAATAATAATAATAATAATAATAATAATAATAATATAATTAAAATAATAATAATAATAATAATAATAGAAATAATAATAATAATAATAATAATAATAATAAAATAATAAAAATAATATCTTTGAAAAGAATTAAGAGGTAAGACGGAGAATAGATAGCAGATGACAAGGAGCTTTAGGAAGGTAGGGGTGTGTGGACCAGGTGGTTTACAGTGAAACATAGTACTTGAACAGTATTAGATAAGGCTAAGAGGTTTTTTGGGCATATTATGGATTTGGAAAAGGCGTATGACATGGGTTGTATAAGGGGGCCAATGTGGCAGATGGTTAGCAGGTGTATGGTGTAGGAGTAGGTTACTGAAAGCAGTGAAAGAGTTTTTAACGATGGATAGTTAGGCACAAGATAAGTAATGTAGAAAAGGTAGATTTATTTTCCTTCCCAGTAAAAGTAGCCTTAGACAAGGATGTGTGATGATCACCATGGTTGGTTTAATATATTATAGATGGTGTTTAAGAGAAGTAAATGCGCAGGGTCATTGGCAAGAGGCTGAAGATTAAAAGATAAAGAATCACACATAAAGTTGGTATTTATGTCACACCAGTTGCTCTTTGCCTGATGGACACTGTCTCTTGGGGGGGGATATTTTTAGATTCCTGAAGAGAAGTTATTTTGCAGAGATTGTGGGATGAAATTTGGTAGGGTGTGCAAAGAAGAAAATTAAAAGTGAATACAGAAAAGAGTAAGGTTATGAGATAACAAAAAGATTAGGTGAATGAAAGATGTGATAGCGACATATTGGAGGAGAGCGCATGAGAGTGTATGTAATTCAGATTATTTAGGAGGAGTGGACCTGTCGCGGATTGTCTAGAAAATGAGGATGAATCATAGAATTGAGTGAGGGAAAAGGGTTGAGTGGTGCAACTTAGGAGTCAGTGGAACAAAGAAGCTTTGTCCTAGGAGGCTTCAAAGAGGTGAATGTATGAGAGAAATAGTTTTACCAACGCACTTAAATAGGTGTGAAGCATGGAGTGATGAATGTTGCAGCGAGGAAGAAGGCTGAGGCAGTGGAGATGTCATGTCTGATGGGCAATGTGGTGGTGTGATATATGCAGAGAATTCTAGTTTGGAAGTTAGGAGGAGTTGCGGATACCAAAACTGTTGTCGCAGAGGGCAAGAAGGTGTTGTTGAGAGGTTCGGACATGAAAGAGAATGGAGCAAAAAAGAATGACTTTCAAGATGTATTCAGCTCAGTAGAGGAAGGAAGGGGGGGTAGGGTCAGCCTTAGGAAAGGTTGGAGGTAGGGGTAAAGAAGGTTTTGTGTGCGAGGGGCTTAGGACTTCCAGCAGGCTGCGTAGCCATGGTTTTGATAGGAGTGAATGGAGACAAATGATTTTTAATATGTTGACATGCTGTTGAGTGTGAGCAAAGTAACATTTTATGAAGGAGGGTACAGGGAAACCGGCAGGCCGACTAGATTCCTGAGAAAGGAAGTTACATGCCTGCCCTCTGAAGGAGGAAAGTTAATGTTGCAGTTTAAAACCTATAGTGTAAAGCACCCATCTGGCAGACAGTGATGAGTGAATTACGGTGAAAGTTTTTCCTTTTTTTCGGGCCACCCTGCGCTTGGTGGGAATCGGCCAGTGTGAGATCTAAAATAAAATAATAATATCTTTAACTTCTACAATATACATGTACAAGGTCATACATCCTAACTGACATCAATGACATACTTTGGAAAATTTAATTTGGTCCTTAAAGTTCCACAGGACAGAACCGGCAGAACAAAGGGGTCCCAGCATGGCTGTTATGGAATGTCTATAAGCTTGGTGGCCTTAAACCCAACCAAACAAAATCGTTCTCTCCCCGGATTGTCGAATGTGGATGGGTATGCACTTATTAATTTATAGATTTTTCACCTTCAGGGAAGAAGAAGGTAGTTTATGTTAGTACATTAATATTAGGAGTTAATTGAGGCACTGTATATAATAATAATGAGACAAAGAACCTTAACATAGGTATTAATAGGCCAGTAAATGTAGGCAAACACTAGGTATAGTGCTCGTGGAGAAATGGCAGCCCTAGGTTGAATGAATGAGCTCAGTCTGGAAGACACGCGCTCGCCCTTCTATACCATGACACCACCTGGACAAGACTGCTGTGATCAGCAGACGGCAACCCCCACACGTGTCTTCACATATGAGACCTTGGGAAAACTGGTAGAGGCACCTCGATTACCTTTACCATAGATTAACTCCTCCATCAGGCTCCATACAGTGAAGACCAGACCTCCACTTTTCCTCTTAGGGATTTCTGGCCATGTCTGGGGAACATTGTGATGGAGTTGATCTGAAGGCCTGTGTGCGCTGGCAGTGCATGCCGCAGTATTAACCAAGTTCTTTTGTCAGTCTAGAAGCTAGTGCCGTGTCCTGCGTATTATACTAGAGGACATGACACACCCCCTTGGATATAGAATATCTGAGGTGCAGGGCAGTCACATAACATCGATTGAAATATTGCATGCAGGAATTAAGGCTCCCGTTTGCACATGGTTTCTGAAGGGGAAGTCCAAAGGGGCTAATCTAAGCTTAGGGAAGTTGAGGATCAGGATATATCTGTAACAACCAAGTAAGGATTAGTCCATTATATGTGCAAATGCAGAGCGCATTTCTTGCAACATCAATCATTTGTGAAAATCCTGTTCAAATAAGCCACTTGTGAGCTGAGGTACCGACCTCAAGCTCGGATGTCATCAGATTTGCCAGGGTAGGCGACTCACTTGGAGGCAGTCCAGACAAATTTTTCACAAAGTGGTCCTTTGAAAACCGTGATGTGGAATAGCAGGTTAAAAATTTTAACATAGCTAGGCCACAGATAGGATCCAGTTTTTAAAACCAGAAGTTAGGTTAATGTTAGCACATCCTATGGCCAGAGTTTTACAGAGAGGCAAGCAAGCTGATTATACACAGAAAGTTATTACTTGCAGTAATTTACAGGCAGGCCAGTAGGCTAGGAGAAGCTTGTTGAAATTAAATTATTTTACAGTGAAAACAAGTAATCCAATGGTAGGAGACTTGTTGTGTTAATTACCTTTCATGGATTTGCAAGTAGCCACAGTTAGGCTAGTGCTTGTCAATATTTACAACCAGGTTTGATTTTAACAAAAAGATCAACCAGGACAGATTAACCTAGTTATTATTTACAGTGAGTTCTAAAGCCAGGTTTAATTAACTAATAAGCACACTATTAGGTTACGATGTACCATATCCAACCATCCACGCTAGACTGAGTTAGCTGGGCAGTTAGTCCAAGCTGTTTACATACATTAATTCATTTACTGTTTCTCAAGTTGAAAATTGTTGAATTTTTTGATGTTAACCAAGGGCTTTTAATTTGTATACTGCACTTTATAATTGAGAGATTTTTTATTGTCGTTGACCACATTTTAATGTGGGATTTGTGAATTGTACTGAGACTAGGTTAAGTCCTGTAATTATTTGCTGGCATGTATAGGGAAATTGCTAGGTAAAGCTTTTCACATCGATACAACAATTGAGGATTTGAGAGCGAACATGTACAATTTAAGTCAGAGTAGATCTTTATAACAAGGGGAATCGTTAAACTTGGTTGAGGAGCCTGGAACTCGTTCATTCTTACCTAACACCGGACGTGCGGTTGGGTGACTGGTAAAGTACCATTATGTCACACATCCTCATTAAACTTCGACAAAGGCAGAGGGAGTTTTCAGGAGATCTGGTTCATGTGATAGCAAAAATTAAAAAGATCATGGCGGTCATAACAAAGGGCAACTGAACAGAACGCGAAACAGTGTGCAAGGCTGAAATAACGTTTTGTTAGAAATACCGACAATATGTAAAGTAAAAGGCCACAATGCAACTAATGTGACATATATGTGAGGCAACGTATTCGCTCTACCAGGTAGCTTTATCAGCCAAGCTTGATAAAGCTCCTGGAGAGCGAAACGTTGCCCACATAAAATTGACACAATTTAGTTGTACTTGTGAGTCCTTTTACTGTTACAGGTGCCAGCCACTTGCACAAAGCAGTAACGTAGACTGCGATGGATATGCAAGACTGCTTTGAAAGCGTTTGGGGGAAAAATGGGAAGCCTATGAACAAGCCTTCCATCAAGCATAGAGCTACAGGCTATTGAGGATGATGAAGCCCAGGAAATTCTTTCTGGCAGGCCTCTGGACGAATTCACAAAGGATGATGTAGAACGTCATCAGGGAATGAATACGTACAAAAATAAGATAAGTACATTAAAGGCTAGTATCCAAGGGGTTGGTTCGAACACCGCAGGTACCACAAACAGCCACACACCTTTCATATACTGCCCAGGTTGCCCCAGTTGAATTTACCGACATTTTGACTGGAAACCTAACTGAGTACATTGCTTTCTGAGGATCAGTTTTAAAGCCCAGATAAGATACAGGAAACGATTTGGTCAGATGCTGTCCCCCCCCCCCCCCAAAAATTGCAAGTATTTGCGGTCACAGCTCAAAGGTAAAAGCCTTAGACAATTGGTCCTGCACATACCAATTACTGAACACATAATAAACCAACATGCAAAGACCAATTAGACAATACAGGTTTGAGGGCAAACACTGAAGAGATAAAAGGTGGCCATAATTTATCGGTTGTTGGATCTATAGGCTTGCAGACATGACGTCAGAAGCAAGAGAAGTTCCGTATTGAAATTATGAGCTTGACCAAATAGTTTTCAAGAGATTTGCATGATAGGATATTAAGAATGGGTCCTTAGGCCAGTAGATTCAGGGAGGAAACTGGCTAGCACTACAGTGCATGAATAACATTTTAAAATATCGACGAATAGTTCACGATAAAACAAAATAGTTGAGGGGTTTGGGAAGAT